TTCTTCATTGCTGCTCCGCGTCGACTCTGTGGATATAAACATGGTCGTAGCAAGTGATGTGTTACCATTAATACACACATTGTTGATTGGTGCTGGTTTGAAGAAAACAGCATCAGTATTGACCAAGGAAGCGAAATTACAGAGTAAAGCTTTTCAAAGTGAACATGATTTACTGGACGTGTATGAATTCTATTTGATGCACTATATAAATACGACCAAGGAGAAGGAGAAGAAGGAGAAGAGGAGAAGATTGTGTCGTCCAGTACTAATGAGAAAGAGAAGAAAAAGTCCAAGAAGAATACAACAAAAACTGTGATTGTTCAAAAGGAAGAATCTTCGAGCTCGGATTCAGACGAAGAATCAGAAGAAGAGAAGAACAAAGTTATTGACAAGAATGCTGTTGGTAAGAAGGAAGAATCTAGTAGCTCAGATGATTCATCTGATAGTTCCTCGGATGAGGAGATTGAGAAATCTACCAAGAAGTCTGGACATGTTAATAAAAAGAAGACCAAGACTGCCGTAAAGGACCTCTCGGATGACGAGAAGCTGAAGTCTAATAAGCGTAAGGCTAAGACTTTTGCTGCTGAAAAGACATCCAAGAAAGCCAAGTGTGAAGCAGACTCTAGCTCTGACAGCAGTGACAGCTCATCGTCGGATGATAGTTCCTCAGACTCTTCGGATTCCGATTCGGATTCGGACACTTCGGATCATGAGGAGGCTCAGATGAAGGAGGCGGTACGTCGTAAAGAGGCCGCAAAGGCCGCACTAGAGTGGCAGCCCAAGAAAGTTGAAAAGGTGGTTACGAAAACAAAGTCGGCGGGCACACCGTTCCAGCGTGTGGATGGCGAGTTTTGGTCACAGAAGATTGTGGACGACACGCTGCGTGACAACAGCTACGAAGGCACTTTTGGTATTGACGGCGTCGGTGTCAAGGCCAATAATAAGCTCTTGAAAACGCGTGGTAAGGATTTTACGAAGGGCAAAAACAAACTCAAACGCTCGACGTACATGTGCGGTGCCATCAGCATGGCTTCGAACTCGTTCAAGTTTGAAGAGTAACTAGATTGATCAGCCCAATTAGTGAATGCAGAGATAGAGGAGCTGCTTCCAACTATAAGTTGCGATTGTAAAACGTATAGAATATACCTTACTTGTTTACCTTTCATGTCTGTAGTACGAGTAACTAGCTGTCCAGCCTCGCAATCAGTGTTTGCAGTTCGTTGAGTCCTCGAGTAGAAGGTTTCCACGTGCTAAAACATTGAAAGTCATCACGTGACGACGTTGCAGCCAGGTCAGAAATCTTTGACAAATTGAGGGTCATTGCACTGCCATGAGGATCACGAAACCCCGGAACATCTCCATCCGTAACGCCTTCTGACACCTTCATCTTGTCACCAAACATCGCACTCGATACCTGTTTTGTCCGCAACTTGTATGCGAGCATTTTCGCCTGCAGCAATTTCTTCTCTTGCATCAAAACTGAATCTAGCAGCATATTCTCTGCTTTTGACAATTGTATTGCACGCGCGATGTCTTCTTGTGCCAGATGAAACTCGTCCTTGAACCTATAAGCTTGTGCACGACGATAAAGTGCCTTTATATTCTCCTGATCAATTTCAAGTGCTTGATTCGCGTGATGCACAGCATCATCAAGATGCATGGTCTTGAGTCTACAAGCTGCAAAATTGAGCAGCAATTTAAGCTTCAAATTATCCGCTTGTGCTTCTTCTTCATCTGTATCTGCAAACACGTACTCAAAGTACACGAGTGCTTTATGATAATGATATGCAGCTCTCTGGTATTGACCGTGCTTGAAAAAGAGGTTCCCCAATACTCGAAACTCGTTACAAAGTGTTAATTTTGCTTGTGTTGTCATGTCCATAAGTTTTTGTTCCTACAAATGCACATTATCATAAAAATTAGACGAAAAATCATAATAATCCTACATTTTATCCGATTGTAGTATTGCAATATTGCAATATTACAATATCACATTATCTTACAGCCGAATGGTCATGGTTACAGCCCATTTGAGCTTTAGTTGCATGTTCACTGCGATCACGAGCGTCTTGTTCCTGTCTTGCAAGTTCTTCGGGATCTTCCCATCCGTCCCATTTTTCATACGTTTTAGTCCAGTCGTAGCTATTTTGGTCCAACTTTTGATCTTTTACTAATACCAATTTTGACTTATTTTGAGCAAGATGCTCCTCTGTCTGTACTACATTTTGCTTGTCTTCTACCGCGTGATGTTCTTTATCCACAATTAGTTGATCTAGCATACGAGATAAAGCAGGTGTAGACATCGTAGGACTAAATAACTATTTTTTACTACAAATTAGTTTGAAAATGTTATTATTATTTGTTTCATAGCGTTAAAACCATGACCTATTTTAATTCACCATACACTTTAATTTTAGTATACTAAATCGATAGACTGCATGTACTACAGTATACTAAATAAAATCTAAGTAGTGATTAAAAAAATAGAGTCGCTGTCATTTAGCAAGAATGATTTTTTTAACACGTTGTAGCACTGTCATGTTGCTGGCGTCCTTTCGAACGCACAAACATCATCATACCAATCGCCGTAGCCACCATCAAAACGTACATGCTAACAATACTTCCAATGACCAATGATTCGGACGGTTCCGAAACCTGTTCATTGGCATTTTTCATTTTGGCGAGCGCAGTTTCTTCGGTTTCGGCGAGCTCATTATCTTCTGTTTCAGCGAGCGCCGTTTCTTCCGACTTGGTTACCACCTTGTGTAGTTTATTCGTAGAATGAGTCCTAGTTTTTAGTTCCACTTCTCCTGGAGAATAGTTGCTTTTGTCTGGAAATGACTCGGACGAGAACTTTGGCGATAAGGTCTGTTCTTCTGAGGTCGCTGATGGGGACGCCACGTCCGTACCGGTTGATTCACTTATCGGTTTATTGGCCAGCTCTCGAGCAGAAGTTATAAGCAGTGTATGCATCTGCGCCACAAAAGCCGGGTATACTTGATATGTCCACTGTCCTTCCGGAATCGATGCAATCTGATTGTTGGCTTCATCCCCTTTTGTAATGCACAGTCCATGTTCTGCTTCCATTCCATCGGGGCATTCGGACCCTTGAACTCCATGCTTGTACCATGCAGACTTTCCATCATTTCCTGGTGGCGAGTAGACACACACGACCATATCTCCACCTGAACAACTCGCCGTTGCACAACCGACACTGGTCGTTGATGCCCAAACTACTTGAGAGTACGAGTTGTAAATCCCTACACCGACATGATGACCCGTGGAACCTGGTTGTGACATCTTCTTAATCGTTGCCATTGCAGTTTCAACCACCCACTCCTGAATTGCTTCATCAATAATTGACGGAGAGTTGGTGGACGATGACTGATGAACATTTATACCTTTTTCTGTAGTAGCCGAACACTTGGACGCTGTGGAAGAAGCTTTCGTTGCCAAGTCGTCATCCCAATTGATGCGGCACATGTTGGCGGCTGCCGATGGTAAGGCTGTACTACGAAAAAAATTGTGACGATCAATCAAAATGGCTTGTTCCACTTTGCTAAAGCTTTTGGCATTGACAGCAGCTACAATAGCCGCTGCCGAGAAAAAAGAGAAGGACGTAGAGACCTTCATTGTCTTTAGATAACAATTCAATAAACTGTAGAGCAAAAGAATGCAAAAGTGGCCATCTCGTCAAGCTTTCGCTAACTAGTATCACGTTGCGACACGGTTCTATTGATCAGACTGGCTTGTAATCAATCCGGTTCCCAGCTGGGCTAAAAATCGAAGATGTACATGCCAAACAAAAACGGCACGATTGGAATCTACAAAATGTACAAGACAATTAGTATATGCTTAGGACAATACTCAGCATGTTGTTAATGTAGCACAACAGACAAATGTTTTTGTGCGATAATTCTACATTTGTTGCAAAGGTTTCTACATCACTTTTGTTAGTTTTTGACAATAATGGTCTTCCTTCTTTTGCACTCACTTCATTGACCTTCTTATTGACATTTTTTTCGCAGAGTGGTAGTATTAAAGTTTTTAAAGCGTGCACATCTCTTCTAATATTCAACAGCAAAATTCAGATAGTGTTAAAATGGACAAGGCGGGAGAGATACATTATGGGATTGTACTTTATTAGCAAAAAAGAGAGTGTCGATTGTGCGTCGTCTAGTCTTAAAACACGATATGACCAGTGTGCAACAGCATGAGGAGGCTATTGGTGCGAGTGCTGTACAAAGCTTTTCATGTGAGGGCTATAATTGAGGTACGAATCACTTGTAAGTAAGTAAGTGGTAAACGAAGATAGCGCACTCTAGATACAACCTCTAGTTTCTAAAGACAGATCTGTGACAAGAAGAAAAATTTGCAGTGCTCACGTGGTTGTAGGCAAAGAGCGATGATGCGTTCGTCTAAAAAAACCTGGCAGACCAGTAGTAGAAATACGCAAGCTCAAGATATGATTGTTCATAATGATCTCATTCTGACGTTGCATTGGCTGAGGTCGTAAATGGACTGGATACGCTGAGACATTACCATGCCTCCTCCCATGCACGTCATGACTGACGACTACATCCCTTTCTACGTCAGATGTGACGGAGAAAGGAGCGTAGTCAGTCCACCGAAAAAAGAGACAGTGTGCGGCTTGTGGTGGTAGTCCGACTACATGTATTCGGACGGACGAGGTTTTTGACTGGCGACAACAGCTGCATCTATAGTTTAATCTGCCTCTGAGCCTACCAGCAATGTCAATCCTATCGTCTTTAGATACTACTTACTATACAATGAGGAAAATCTTTGCGTATACCTTTTGAGTTTTTAGAGCAGTTGGCCACATTTATTGTATCATTTCATGCGGAACAAACACCACATACATTCTTCTTTACACGTATCCAACTAATTTTACCTCGTAGGTCAAACCAAGTCGTAATTTACAACTGCCACCCCTTCGTTTCTAACAAATAACGCTTAAGACTTGAACCGACTGTTCTAGCTTAATCAACCCGAATACCGCCATCCCGCATAATTTCCCGTTGACGTCGCTGGTTCCTCTTATAGCTCATGACCACACCAAAAGCCGCAATACAAACGATAACAAGCACGGATATTCCAGTTATACCAGCAACCGAGATGTTCGATTCAACGCCCTTATGCTGAGTGACAGTCATTGTGCTCGGTGCAGGACTTGAGCCAGACATTGGGGTGGTAGGTGGTAAACTCTCATCATTATCTGGTTTGCTTGAAGTGCTGGTAGGGCTGCTCGAAGTCGGATTCTTTGTCGACGGTTTCTCATTTGTAAAGGTCGAGCCTTTGTCAGAGCTCGCCTTGACCGTTCCAGGTACCAAGTCTTCCTCTTGTTCCGTTGAGGTCTCCATAGAAGAATGCGTACTAGTTTTGTCGGGTTTTTTTGATGTAGACGTCGACTCCTTACCGGTTTTCGTTGAAGGTGAAGGAGTCTCATCCATTGCACTAGTCTTGGTATCACCAACATCCTCATCCGAGCTAACCGAATGCGTCTTTGAAGACGACGGAGTCTTCTCCGTTGCACTTTTCTTGGTATCACCAACATCCTCATCCGAGCTAACTGAATGCGTCTTTGAAGACGACGGAGTCTTCTCCGTTGCACTTTTCTTAGTATCATCAACATCCTCATTCGAGCTAACCGAATGCGTCTTTGACGACGACGGAGTCTTCTCCGTTGCACTTTTCTTGGTATCACCAACATCCTCATTCGAGCTAACTGAATGCGTCTTTGACGACGACGGAGTCTTCATCCGTTGCACTTTTCTTAGTATCACCAACATCCTCATTCGAGCTAACCGAAGGCGTTTTCGAAGGTGTCTTCAAAGATGAGGAGGTCGGCGTTGCTGTCGTAGCAGCAGGCGGAACCGTCGGTGGCTTTTCACCATTGGCAATCCGACGTGCCGCCTCAACCAATACAGTCTGCATGTTAGCTACATAGGCTGAATATACTTCATACGTCAACTTGCCAGCCGGAATAAGAGCAATCTGTTTGTTAGCTGTATCTTCCTTCTCACCACATAGTCCCTGTGATGCCGTCGTCCCCGACGGACACTTTGATGCCGGCTCGGCATGAACGTACCAGGCTGAAGACCCGTCGTTTCCTGGTGGTGAAAATTCGCACACGACCATTTTACCCCCTGAACAACTGGCCAATGCACACCCAACACTAGTCGTTGATGCCCAGAGAATCTGAGAGTAAGCATTGTACGTTCCTTTTCCAATTTCAACACCCAAAGCACCTGGTTGTGCAAGTGTCCTGAGTGTTTTCATGGACGTCTCAACCACCCATTCCTGAATAGCTTCGTCAATAATAGACAATGACGTAGATGATAATGATGATGACTGGTATACATTCACACCTGGTCCTGTCGTAGCTGAACACTTGGCTGCACTAGAAGCAGCAGTCTTTGCCAAGTCATTCTTCCATCCAATTCGTTGCATATTTGCTGCTGACCAAGGTAAGCCCGTGGTACGAAAATAATTGAGACGGTCAAGCCAAATTGCCTCGTCTACTGGACTAAAGCTGTTGTTATCGGCATATACGATCACTATCGTTACAATTAATAAGGTTATAATAAGTGGCATGAACATGAGGTCTTGTTTCACGCTGATAATCAAATTAAAATATGAAAGAATGAAAGCACAAGGTACTACTGACTCGGTAATTTATGTCTGACGTAACTTTTTTTCTGCTGCGCTTTTACAGTTGCAAATTGTAAGACACACACGTCGAAACGATAGCCTCTTAGAATTAATAATAGTACTGTAATATTTGAGCTACCAAAAGAACTACAAGGAACCTTTCATACAAATTGATTTGAAAAAGGGGCGACTTGACGAATTCAATCAAATCAGTACATTTTTGTCACCCTGAATACCTACCCACCTCATTCATATGACTTTGAAGAATTAGAATGTCTCAGTGTGTGAATATGCATCGTCAAGTTGAATAGCACAAGGTGCTTGTTTATATCATGCACGAACTTTTTTACATTCAAATCATGCCATCATGGCTGTAGAAGTAAAAAGAAAAAAAACAATTGACTTTATCGTTGGTTTTTCTGATCACCAATGCTTGTCCTCACCGCTATGGTAGCACTCAATCACTCAATCACCCTTGCAATATCCCTACAATGTGGGCTCGAACTTGATGGTCGCGAAATTTTTCCTTGGACTTAAACACCACCGTCTTGCATAATATCACGCTGTCGCTGCTGATTCTTACGATAGCTTATGAAGACAGCCACGACGGCAACGGCCACGACACCCGCCACAACTATACCGGCGATAGCTGCTGGCGACGGTCCACCACCGTTACTAGTGATAATGGACGACTGGGTGTTCGCCATGGCTGTAGCTTTCAAATCCGAGTTCGAGGAGGTACCCAGCTCAGCCGATTCTTGTTTGGTAGGGTCACCCAGCTCAGCCGATTCTTGTTTGGCAGGGTCACCCAGCTCAGCCGATTCTTGTTTAGTAGGGTCACCCAGCTCAGCCGATTCTTCTTTGGTAGGGTCACCCAGCTCTGCCGATTCTTGTTTAGTAGGGTCACCCAGCTCAGCCGATTCTTCTTTGGTAGGGTCACCCAGCTCTGCCGATTCTTGTTTAGTAGGGTCACCCCAGCTCTGCCGATTCTTCTTTGGTAGGGTCACCCAGCTCAGCCGACTCGGTTGGCGTTTCATTGTCCCCACCACTTTCCGAGCTAGGCTTCACTGTACCTGAAGATTTTTCTCCAGAGGACGTGGATGGACTGGTCTCCGAGCTCTCACCTAAATCCTTAAACATATCAAGCGACTTGCTCTTTTGCGGCAGGGAGCCCGTCAAAGTGGACAAATCCGAGGTTGAGAGGTCTTCACTGGTGGCCTCCTTTCCTTCACCGGTCGCTTCGGTTTTGTCATCAGTTAAGGGATCTGGTGATGCTTCCGTATCGGAGGCACTCGGTTCTTTAGTCAATTCGGATACTGATCCATCCGGAGAAACTACAGCTACGGGATCGGCTCCAGGCGCATCTCTCGCCTTTGCTGCTTTCAGAATTGTTGCCATGATGTCGGCTATGAACGTTGAATAAACCTCGAGACTCGATTTTCCTTTGGGGATTGGCGCAATAAGTTTATTGGCCGGGTCTCCTTCAACAACGCAAAGCCCGAGAACAGCTGTGGTTCCTGTCGGACAAAGCTTCGCCTGTGCAGCGTGGACAAACCATGGCGACTTGCCGTCGTTCCCTGCCGGCGAGTATTTACACACGACCATCGATCCGCCAGAGCAACTGGCCATCGCACATCCGACGCTAGTCGTTTCAGCCCAGATCACTTGTGTGTATGAGTTGTAAAGTCCCGCGCCAACGGAATCGCCTTCCTTTTGCCGGCGGAACGACTGATCCGATATTAGACAGTGCAGGCTTGACAGCCCAATCATTGAGCGCTTCGTCAATCACCGATGATGAGTCCGTTGACGTGGCCTTAAAGACGTTAAGACCGGCAGTTGTTTCAGCAGTGCAACTTTCAGCCGTCGATGCGGCTTCCTTGGCCAACTCATCGTCCCAATTCATTCGTTTCATATTACCTGCTGCCCAGGGCAAAGCTGCTACTCGGAAATAGTTGTGACGCTCGATCCAGATCGCTTTTTCTTCATCAGTAAAGCCGCCAATTTGGTCCGGATCCGATGCGCAAGAAGGCGAGCTGAAATCGTAGAGCGGGGTCGAGCTATCTTCGTCAGATTGTTCGTCCGTGAGACCTCCCTTCGTGTCTCCTCCATCCGGTTCACAAGGTGCATCGAAATCGTATAGCGGGGTCGAGCTATCTTCTTCAGATTGTTCCCCCGTGAGGCCTTTCTTCGTGTCTCCGTCATCCGATGCACAAGGTGCATCGAAATCGTATAGATCTTCAGGTGGGTCGCCCGTGGCGTCTTTCGTATCGACCAGAGATTTCGAGTTATCTTTGTCCGATTGTTCGGCCGTGGACTCCGAGCTCAACGATAGTTCCTCGGTGGGATCACTATCTGATGGCTCTGATGCAAAGACGGATGTGCTCGCCGTCTTGGCGTTTACGCTCGTGCTCAATGCAACCAAGACAGCTGCCACAACGAGACTTGTTGATACTTTCATTCTGTTGCTGACAAGTGCTTGCAACCTAGAATTATTTACACTGCGAGACAAGAGTGGATTTGTCGATCGATGCGCGGCCACAGAAAAAAATACTAACGTTTACACGTAAAAGCAGATCCCTTTCACGTGCTCGGTGGAACGACGCAAGGTCTTGCCACAACCTCAGCTGTCAAACCTGTATTATACACGATGGTACAGTCCCCTATGGTTCCAGCTGGTGAATAGAATAGCCTTGCGTGCCGGGGTACATTTGACTTGAATTACTACAGTATGGGGATGATTGCAGCCTATTAGGGGAGCACCTAACAATGCTAAGACTTGAAAATGGTCATCGTGTCGTAGAGCGTGCTGGCTTTTCATGACTGACCTGGTTCTGGGTCCGAAGCAAATACATTCAGCCTTCCCTCATCAGCAGCTGAATACTTGAATGTTGTGACGGGATTTGACTGTGAACGCATCGGTTGAAAAAGCTACAGCTGTGACAACAGCTTGGACCGGAAAATGCGAATGCTTTGCCCATTGGCAGGCGACAGGCGCTGGTCGGGCGTTTCTGGATGTCTAATGCAGCTTCATATTGAGTCTGGAACTTTTTTTGACGCGGATGAATGGTATGAACTGTCTCAACTACTAGCTGCTAGTGCTTTAGAATCAACTGGTTCTGTCTGACCTTCAAGCAATACATGTCGGACCATGGTTTGAGGATCAGGTAGTTGATGTCCTGCATTTAACGAGATCTGAAAGGCCTGAAGGCTCAACAATTTATTGCCATGCAACGTTTTGCTGTCGGAACATCATAGTGTAGATCACTACGAGGTCGCTAGTATGGACTGGCTCGTTGACCTCCCGGGGACAGATGTATACATCCTGTCGTACATGCACGGAAACACATTCTTCAACACCACGCTTTTCCTCTTTGTCTCTTTATGTAAAAGAGGATTGATCAAAAGGATGGAATGCTTACGAGGCATATCTAGTCGTAGACGTATGACGTGAATATAGTTAGGCTCTCATTTAGATGTTAGTTCGCAGATCGTGCTTCTTTGACAAACGGCGTCAGCACCTGTAGCTGCGAGTAGCAACTCGCTCATGCGATCGGGTTCGAGTGTCTTGACCACCTTCGGTTTGTGGGTGCCAGTCGCATAGACTTTTGTCGTGGTAGGTACTGCATGGCGTAGCGTTAATCGTGGAACGAACAAGTGGTAGAAAGACTCGATGTCGATGATACGATCTCACGACGGTCTGCTAACCGGGCGCGCAGTCTCCATCAGCATTTTTACGATCCTGTCTTTGACTTCTGTGGAGCTCGATGTTTGCACAAAAAGACGACGTTCACGATGAATGTCGTTCCTCTTGTATGTTTCCCAGATGATGGCGTCCTGATTGATGCTTTGCTGGAAGTTTGAGGCATGAAAACGATTGGGTTGGATCTTGCAGGCCTGTTAAGTTAGGAATATGTTGGGTAGAAGATGTAAGGGGTATGTGACGCTGGCAGGTTTTCGACATCCATGTCACTCGACTATGAGACGATGATGCTGGTCACCTTGAACTCGACGTTTGCTCGCACTTGCAAGCATGGAGAGGTAAAGAGCAGGAACATCGTTGGGTCGTAGCTATATTCCGCTATTACTGCGGAATATGCTGCAGTAATCTACTCCTGTCGGATAGGTCCTGTCTTGAGGAACTTGGCGCAAAAGAAGCCCATGGTATCTAGCTCAATGTTCGATGGGTCAAAGCGTTGTACGAGGGACGCTTCGTGCTCGTTGAGGCCCTGACCTGGCAGCCCGCGGTCGCCGAGGTGAGCTTTGCCTTGAGAAACAAGTTTCAGCGGATAATTTTCGAGCGCGTGATGCACCATCTGCTCGTTCTCTTTCGGATTGATCGTGCATGTCGAGTACACGAGCGTGCCGCCAGGTTTAAGTAGGAATGCTGCAACCCACAAAAAAGTTGCGCTGCATCTTGACAAACTCGTCCAAGTTGTCCGTATCACTAGCGTGAAGCAACCGTGGACGCAAGCCTAGCGCTGAGCAAGGCGGGTCTAGCAAGATACGGTCGAAAGTTTCAGGAAAGAATCCCTCCACCAGCAACAAGCGCGCTTGGCCTGGAGTGTTCTCCTTTGCGCGAGCTATAACCTGCGCCACACTCGTGAAGTCTTTTCTTGCGTGGCAGCCAGCATTGTGTCGACCTTCTCTTTAGGTAGCACAGCATGGGTTGAATCCATCTTAAGCGGTACGACACACTCGAGTTGAAGATCTTCGCACAATGTACGTAGCTCCAGTGCTTTCCGCTTCGAGCGATCGCAAGCTATTAGTGCGCCTTTATTTCGCATCAAAGTAGCCACGTGGGGAAGTTTTTCCTCCGGGCGCTGCACACATGTCTAGAATCACATCGCCCTCTTGCGGATCCAATGCATGTGCAACCACCGAACACGGCAAATTCTGCACGTAGATCTGACCCCGTAATACACCGTTCATCGGTGGTGCATCAGGACAAACTCGGACCAATTGAGTCACTGCCTGTCCTCTCACAGCACGGAATATCTCCGTTCTTGCCATCTTGGTCACGCCACGGGCAATCAAAAGCTTGCGTCCCCTGTGTGTTGCAAAGTCACTTCCACGCGTGTGGTTGTGGTCAAGATCAACAAAGACATTGACCTGATCTTCAGCATTAATGCCACTGCTGGCACTCATAACTCCTCGAGCAAAAATGTCGCTCCCACGTAGCACTGCTTCGCCACAAAGTCGATCCACAACGATGCTCTTGAGTTCCGAATTAAACTTGACAATGACTTGTCCACTGGGTGATGAAGGAATCATTATCACGTCCGGTAACGATGGATGGACAAAGGCTTCAATTGGCTGACGACTGGTATCGAGCTCTACTAATTCAGTATTAAACTTGTCCAAATGAGGTTTAAGAGCTTGCAATGCTTCATCACGTGACAATTTCAATGTATTTACTCGAACAGCAGTAAACGCAGGTCTGATTACATTGTATTCAATAAAAAAAATATTAGTTGAATGTGTAAGGGGGACTTTGACATGGTTTTCAATAATACTTACGGTCGAGCAAGAGCACGCTTGATATTGGTCCAATGAGGTTCACTATATGCAGCACGTAGATTCTTTTCGACTTGGTCAGGAAAACATACGGAAAAAGCAGCTAACGTCGTGATGTCCAGTGATGCCATGATGGCCAATTATTCATACGTGGTGTCAAACTGGTAGTATATGATAGTAATGCAAAGTACTATTGTAAGAGCTACATTGGTTTTGTACTACACCAATTGTAATACTTTCGATGTTAATATTTTTGCGACGTGCGATGCTCCGTTGTTCAGATACCCATACTGAATCCAAGTCATTACTTATCAGTGGTGGCCAATCCACTTCAAATTGATATCTATCATGGCGGCCACCCCAACTAAAGCTGCCGTGTTTGTGGCTTCTGCCC